CTGTCATGGTGGGCTTAGCCAAACAAAATAACAGAATGTAAGTCAAGATTTGGAATTGTCGTAGGGGCCTGGTATGTTCATATTAGTGTCCTGTTTTGTGAGCAGATGTCTAGCCTGCCTTGATAAGGGTTTAATAAAGATGTATTGAATATATAAATTAATAGCATATCGGGGTACATGTGTCCTTTTGAATTATGGTTTTCTCAGGGTAAAAGCCCAGTAGTGGGATTCCTGGGTCATATAGTAGTTCTATTTTTAGTTTTTTTTAAGGAGCCTCCATACTGTTCTCCATAGTGGCTGTATCAACTTATATTGGCACCAACAGTGCAAGGGGGTTCCCTTTTCTCCACAGCCTCTGGGGCACACTCACTCACTTGGTTATTCCTGCACTCCTTCCACACATCTATTCTGAGTAGCTGCTCTGTGACAGGGCCCATGACATTAACATCCCTTGATTTCCAAACCATGCTTTCTCTCTCTGTGACAACCTTCACAGCAGGGACCCTGGGGATGGGACAGTCTTCAGATGTGGTAGACACTTGGTCTTCATTAATTTTGCTATTTAATAAATAGTGTCTGACGGCAGAAGACGACCTTGTTGCTTTCCTGCTTTGTAGCTTCCCAAGGCTCACAAATGTCCTTAGAACAAAGTAGAAGCCTCTTATGTTGGTACTCAAAGCCTTTGTGATAGGGATCCTGCCTCTCCAATATTTTCCAGAACTTCTTAACTCATCTTGTGGTCCCTAAAAATAAAATATTGAAGTAATGCCAAAAAAAATTTAATTAATTAATAGCACATCATGAACTTTAAATATAATTAATAAGCCACCATTGCATATGCTTCTCATAAAGAGACCCCTGGGGATTGATTTTCAATCAAGTAATCTTTTGCTTGTTTTTGAAACTTATAAAAGGCCAAAGATAATATAGTATTCTGAGGGAATGTGTTCCCTAATCAGTAGTTTAACAGATATATATTATTCATAAAAGAGAACTCTAGACTCTCCACCTTCCTCCACCAAGATCACATTTTCGAGCACATTAATAAGTTCTCACTGACTTAGTCACCTCAGAAATCTTAAGATCAGTAACAGAGAACAAAGGTTAATTCTTAATATGGTTAGGGATAGAGTGTTAATTACAGACAATATATTCTGTATATTAAACTATGTTGTAATTGCTATAGCAGTGTGTTGACTATATTCAAGTGGTCCCAGAAGCTTATATTGCGAGGGTTTATATTTGGGGGGAACTTATTTTTCTCCCAGCCCTGGTTAAATTCTCAAGGCTCACAATAGTTTCCATACAAAGGTAAGCCCATGTCAATACATGAATTTCAGGTAAGCATATAATGCTACACATTTTCCCTCAGGGAACACTGCCATGGAAGACATTACAGTAATTTTCCACCCTAGAACGCTACAATAATGTGGATTTCAGGATAGAAGCATGTAGTATTTTTTTTAATACTGTTTCCCAGGAGATTTTCCCAAGGATTTAGAGACCTACACTGCCCTTTGTGGGGCCGCTGCATTTTCTAATACTGCATACTGTCAAAGTTCCTTCTCAGTCAGTTGAGCGTGTCCGGAGAAATAGCTCAACTAGCTGTACCTCCAATGCTGTGAAAAGAATGACATAATTATTAAGATGTAAAGAAATGTAGGACAGTGCCATTCTGTGACTTGTTTAGATGAGAGACCAATAATTGTGAGTTCCTTCTCTCACTATAGCCAAATCATTAAATCAGTCATTTTCTCTAACTGTAGCCAAATTATTGAATCATTCATTGACTTAAGTTGGATCTGCATTAAACCAAAAATGATGGATTATTCAGTCATTCTCTTTATAGATAAAAATCCTGGATGCTTTGAACTCATCTCTTTATTCTTTAAGGAAAAAAAAAGGTTCATTTTGATTTTTTTGTTTTTCCCAAGCCCCAGAGTTCAGCTATGGCTAACTACCAGCAATTTAAATAGCATTTTTAAAAAATAGCCTTAGCTTCTAGGCTTCTAACAGAGGCACTTCTAAAGTAAATCTTCCTTGGTTAACAGCTGTCAGCTATCAATGAGCTATAGGTAATTAAATTTGAAGATAGCTTGATGGCCCAGAAAAAGAGATAAAATCCTTGGACCAGAAAGGTCTTAAGTTAATGCAGTTATTGCTCCCTCTGGTATTTGAATTAATGCAAGAAATTGATTATTTTCTAACGAAACAGGTAAAGAGGAGAACTGCCATTGTTTGTTACTTGCAAGTAAAATTTAGTTGAGACTGTTTTCCCAGCCCAGTTCACACTCTTGGTTTTATTTCAATATACATTGGGAAGAGAAGGCAAAAAAAAAAAAAAAAAAAAATTTTTTTTTTTTTTAAATAGCCAGACTAAACAAACCATGGTAGAAAGAGTGAGAAGGTGTTAGGTGCTGTGAACACTGGAGAGATATTATCAGATATGATCAGTTAGTAAGGGTTTAAACAACAGGAAATGAAAACCTCAATTCAAAGTGCCTAAAAAAGAGCAAGGATTTTTTTAAAAAAAATCATATATAACAGAAGTAATCCTGTAGTAGAGCAGTTGTAGGGTTAGTGTAGACATTGAACGATTTCTTATAGAGCTCAGCATTTTTCCTAAATTTCTGCTTGCCATTCTCAGATAGCAATCTTTTTGGTAGCAGCAACTGCTGAAAGTATTATATGCTCACTTACCAATGTCCAGAGGCAGAAAAAGAAATCACCTCTTTTTTGTGCCATTTTTAAGACCCAAGAAACCTCTTCTAGTAACCTTGCAGAAGGCTTCCCTCTGAATCTCATCGGCCAGAACTAGTCACATGGTCATATTTTTAGTCACTCACTTGCTGGGGGATCCACTATGGTTGGCATATGGTTCCCTGCCAACAGGAAAGAGAAAGAAAATGTCTGTTAGACAGAGGGTCAGTAATCTCTCCTGCCAAAAGGAGCACACTGATCTTCTACTGTGTGCTGGTGGAACATCCTTTGAGCTATGTATTAACATAACCAATTTATAGATGAGAAAATTGAAACCTGGGAGAAACAAGGTAGTTTTCCTAAACTAACAGATTAGTAAGTGATGAAACTGGGATTTCAACTCAAAACTGTCTGACTCCAATTCTGTACTCTCTCCACTGCTGCCTGTACATCATGCCTCACTTTGAGTTTCAATTACAGAGATACTCTTTTTGGATCTAATGATCAATGCATCTCTGTGTTTTGCTTTTCACTTTAGACTTACTCTTCCTCAGAGCTTCCTCAGAGCTGTCTACTCTCTGAGCTTCATATCATCCATGAGAAGAACTGGAAATCTCTCCCTGCAGATTTGATATTTTTAATGACAAATTAGTTATCTAATTTTACATGCTTGTGGGACATTTCCACTTTTAGTTGAATTTAATCTATCAACACTCAAGTAATGTCTTTACCAAAGAAATTTCCTTTTTGAATCTCTCAAAATTAGTAAAGGCCATGTTCATTTATCCTGTTCTCAGTTTACATCTTTGGAAGATAATTACCTCTTCCTTTTACCCAAAGACCAACTTCATATAAAATCATTCCAAATCCTTTAAGTGACCCTCACATCAACTCCTCTCTTCCTTTCTATTTCTGGCAAATCAGGTCTTTATCATCATCATATCTGGAAGAGCATCTCTTAGTTTTCCAGTCTCACATGCCCCAAAATTATCCTGCACACCAAATTATTATTCTTAAATATGATTTATTATTTTACTGTCCTGCTCAAATAATTTGAGTAGATTCTACATGTGACAAAAAGAAATATTAAATATATTAATATATATAAATCAGACAATTTAATCTTCCATATTTTCTCCCCGTGTAAAGAATTGTTCTTCTTACTTGTCTGGCTGAAGCTTGAAGTCTTGTCCCAAGTCATAATAATAGGTAACCCATGTAACCCATGTCACTGTGAGACGGGCACTCTTTTAAGCTCTTGATGTATATTAACAATTTAAACCTCACAATACCCCTATGATGTAGGGACTATTATTATCCTGACTTTAAAGATGAAGACACTGGAGTCTAGAGGGACAAAGGCACTGGCCAAGTACATATATAAATGAAACAGTAGAGCCAGCATTCATACTCCAGTGGCTGTGCCCCAGATGCCACAAACTCAGTCATATTTTACTTCTTTAATCTGTGTATTTCACTGGAGAGTTATTTATTCATGAGGTGTTTGTTGAATATCTATTCTGCACCCAACCAGCACCCTACAAATGATGCTTTACAGGAAAATTATGCAGCCGTGAATCTCCTCCATTGGATGAAAAGCAAGCTTTATTAAACACCCTGGATTTTAGGCAAAATCAAAGGAGAATGTGTCTTCTCCAACCTTTGAGTGACATTTGTTGCATTTTATATTCTCTCTCATGTTCTGAGCTCTTGGATTTTTTTTCCTACTTCAGCAACAACCTCTGGTCTAGCAGAGGCTAACTTTTTTCCTGAACAACATCCAAGTAATTTATAGAAAAATTTATTAAACTAGTTAGAATTATGTTGAGGAAGTAAGGTAAATATTCAGGGTAGGAAACAACAACCCTAAAATGATGAATGTATTGAAGTCCAACAATAAAATATTAAGAGAGTCTAGGAAGACATTCACACCATCATTGCTTTTGTTTTTTGTTCAATCTAATCACTTGCTATATTTTTTTGGGTGATTTATTTTAACAAGCTTTAAGCTGATGACAAACAGTAAACAACTGAGTTGAGGTCCTAGCAAAATGTGAATAATTTTGTAATCAAGTAGTACTACTATAAACTTGAACATTGCATTTATGGATTTATTTATGTTTTAATTCAGCATAGAGGAAATAAATAAAAATATCCACTAACATAACTGTTTTAAAATTAATTTATTGTAGGAGGAAAATGTATTTTGACTTTTTTGGTAAATATTTCCATAAGATAATTTTCATTAAAATAATGGAATCAAGATACTCAGTTTTCACTTGTGCTATTCACTATTTCAGAGCTTCGAGAAACCAAGACCTCTGAATACTTCAGCCTAACTCACCACCCTTTAGACTACAGGATATTATTAATGGATGAAGATCAGGACCGGATATATGTGGGCAGCAAAGATCACATTCTTTCCTTGAATATTAACAACATAAGCCAAGAACCTTTGAGTGTAAGTTTATCATTTTCATGGGGGCAATGCTAAATTCCTAGGTTTCTTTTTCTTTAAAAGTTTCAAATACAATGAAAAAATTATGTACTTAATTAGAACAATAGAAAATAAAGGTCATATATCAATAAATAGTTGGAAATTACTACTTATTTCAAGGACTGAAAATATAACCAATTCATTTCTCCATGTCTAGTTTCATAGTTTTTAGCCATCGAAAACTTGAAGCTAAGTGAGAAAATACTTCCCGTGTATACATACATCGAAAGGGAAAAGGAGAAGCACGGAGTATAGCATGAAAAATGGTCAGATTAAAGGACAGCGTACCTTGTCATCTGTACATAAACCAAGAAGGTCTTGAAAAGAACACAATTATTAAATGCAGTGTTCTTTGAAAAAATGTGGCCTATACAACAGGGATTTGAACTGCATGGCTCCACTTATATGCAGATTCTTTTTGGTTGTAAATACTACAGTACTACATGATACATGGTTGGTTGAATCTTTGGATGTGGAACTGGAATATAGGGTCAGTGTCCCTAACCTCTGAGTTGTTCAAGGGTTAACTATATTTATCATTCTATGTCACAGCAAGGAAATAAATTGAGCTTCATTAAAGTAAAGAAATAAAAGTAAATTAATTATAAATTTATTATAGCAAGAACACATCTGAATTTATTATTTTAACAATGAGCTACAGGCTGAAAAAAGCTACAGGATAAAAAAAAATCATCTCCATCAGACCTGACCCAAGGCTGCAATGACTTAGCATGCTAGCACAGTATGTCAGAGAGAGAATCTTTATCCAGGTTATTTTAGCTGTTGAAGTACCTAGTTTGCAGTAAGTTTACCAGCCTAGCTGTGTAGTTTACCAAAAAAACCCCAAGATAGCAGTATAAGCATAAATTCATTGTGATATAAGCAGTTGTGAAAAGTGTACTATAAATCAGAGGGAGGGAAATATACATTATATGGTGCACATCAATAATTTCCTTATTTTAAAATTGTACCATTAGTAAATGAGCACATATTATAGAAAGGATTGTTGAAGGAAAAATTCATGGAAGAAACAAAAACATAATTCTTAGAATAAAGTAATAAAATCTTTATTAACTTGAGTTCATAAAATAAAAGAAGAAATTTGAAATATAAATATAGAATTAACTTAAAGAAATCTGTTAGCATAAAGTAAATGAAGAGTACTGAGCTGTCATATATACAAGTGAGATTATGCAACCTTTATTTTCCTTTCTGAGCAGGTTTTCTGGCCAGCATCTGCAATCAAAGTTGAAGAGTGCAAAATGGCTGGCAAAGATCCCACAGTGAGTGCTTAAAAAAATCCAAAACTTAAATATTTGGCCTTTGAATTCATGTACTTTGAGTGCATCCAAGAATGAGACAAAGGGTATTGGTGTTTTGAATCCTCGGCTGGACACATAGTAAGAAATGTAAATGCAAAGTGATTGGAACTCTTAAACACTGTAACTTAGGAATTCCTGACTGGGTAAAAATTTCCTGCTTTGCTTTCATTATTGAACCCTGACACTTTTCATGATGGATTTCAGTAATAACCCCTGTTCAAAGTGGATCCAACCTGCAGAATTCTCAGCAGGCTGCTGAAATAATGATAATTCAAGTGTCTGGAGTAGCTCCCAGATACCATGTGGGCTTTTCCAAAGAAAGATTCTCGTCAAAAGGGTAGTGGTTAGCCAGCACATTCCAGAAGCATAAATCACCAGTAGTGGCTGTTATCTTTGTTAATTAAAAATAACCACAGAAATAAAAATCAAGGCAGATACAAATATCAGTAAATGTTCAGTGTGCGATACTTTTACAAAATGTATTCCATATAAAGAATCAAGGAATAAATCTACATTGATTTCTACAAATGACTTTCTGAAACTGACACATTAAATTATTCTTGAATGTTTTAAAAAATGCATGGAACAGCTCTTTAATGTGCACAAGTCATTTAATGTTTATAATGAAGCTTAGATGTCTTTTCACCTTCTTGTCTCAAACTTCTTCCTTGTGAAAGAAGAAGTATGGAAATGAAACTTTTATATTTTATTGATTCTTAGCAGTCCAGGTACAAAGTTCTGAAAAAGCCTGGCCTAAGGCAGGACCACAGCAGACTCTGGAGTGCAGATCTCCGGGTCTCACCAGAGGGCGTTTTGGCAAGAGTGCTGACCAGGAGTGACTCAGCTCAGGGTTTCATTGTTTTAGTTTCATAATTCACCTTATAAGAGAAAATTTTAAATGGGCAAAAGGAGCTCACAGTAGTATATTTGCTACCCACAGGATCTGTTGGACCACAATCAAAAAGGAAAAAAATCCAGAAAAAATGTGAAAGAAACATTCAAAAGAGTACATTACAATTGCTTTCTAGGGAACCAATAGCAGAATGAAGTATAATGTAGTGGAAAAGGCACTTTTTTTTTGGTCCCCTTAAGTTATGATTTCGATAATTTTGCATGAATTAAACTACTTTCTTTCATCCTCTAATGTAGAGATTTTTCCCATTGATGTTTATGTGATCATGTCTCGTCTTTTGCCACGATTACATCCTGTGGTTGTAATTACTGGATTTAATTGTTCTTTGTTTAAAAAATTTCTGTGTCCCATTCATATAAACTGCCACAGGCAGAATATATAGGATTTAGATACCTTTGCACATTCTCTTTCCAAAAATTGTTGTTGATTTTCTGAAGAGTCTTAGCCAAGTCATTTGATTTCTTTCTCCCTTTGGCAAAGTAGAAATGCTCTGTTATTTGCTTTATTATAATTAAACGTCATTAGATGAAATCTTCAATACATGCTTATGTTTTCACATAGTTTTGTCATGCTGTAATATCATTCATGGATATCTTTATATTCTGCCACATGGCCAGTCAGAGGTAACTGGTAGTGGGCTCTGTTGTAGTACAGGCAACGCTGTTGGGTCCTGGGAAATAATAATCAAACTAAGTTTCAAATATATGCTCTGTCTATGCAAGAGAAGAGAATGTTGACAAATTCATCTCGCTTAAATAAGGCATTATTACTTACAAACAAGTGTCCTTTAAGCAGGATACCAGTGGCAGAAAAATGATGCTAAATAGAAGTTCTATAGAACAACATTTTAATTACACTTCTCAATGAAACTAAATATTTAAGAAGCTCTTTTGGAATAAATATCATATAATTACTTAATATTTCATTTTTTTAAATGCAGGAACAGAATATTTTAATTTGTACAAATCAGTTAATTGAAGTGAAGGAACCAGAGGTATATAAGGTGGAGTTCCTACCTTTAAGAGTCTTCACAATATACTGGGGATGATGAGACATATATACAATAACTACCAAGTAATACTAGCCAACACTTAATGGAATGGGCCAGGTGCTATTCTAAGTGTTTTGTTTTAATCCTCATGACGATGCTGCAAGATGGACATTATTGTCTTCATCCACATTTTTAAGATAGATAAACTGAATCACTAAGAGAGTAAGGAACTTACCCAAAGCTGCGCTGCCTGCGAGTGGGAGGCCTCTGTCCGACTCAGGCACATATGGCTCTAGATCTTTTTGCTCTTAGTTGATAAAACATGCCACTTCTCTGGGGAGAATATGATAAATGCTGAGAATACACACAAAGACAAAGAAAAAATTCACTGCACCTGGGATATTTAGGAAAGGTTTGATAGATTTGGTGGCAACTATGCTAGGTCTTACGTTAACTTGTCCCCTTATTCTAGTTCAATAATACTGAAATTCAAATAAGTTGTATCCTTTCTCTCTTTCAGCCTTTGGTACAGGCTACATGTGATTCTCTTCTTGTTGAATTATCTTCCCATCTTTTTAACCTGGGAATCATCTACTCATCCTTTCAAATAACAGTGCAGATGTCACCTCTCTGGAGAGTCCATTCTTGCTACCCAGGACTGGGCTAGCTGCCCCTCCCTGTGCGTTCACCTGAAACACTCTAGAACTTATTTCACTGCATTTTTAGTGATTGGATCCAGTGCCCATATCTGTATCTAGGCACTTTGTGAAATTTCAACAAGATCTGGAAAAATGGAGATGGAAGCAGTAAGCATGGGAACCTATTCCAAGTACTTTTCTCAGGTTGGGGGTAGGACACAATGGATCCTGAGTTATTAATACCTTTAGATTAATAAGTTTATAATAAATTCATTATGCACAATTTTTAAAGGTATATTTTGGTTAAATTAATTTTTTTACTTTTAAATATTATATTAATCTTCTACTAAGAAAAGCATAAACTAGTGACAAATTTTATATTTCTATAACAATTGAAAAAAACCCATAGAATCAAACATCTCTTATTTCTTTAGATTTTTTACTTATATCAAACTTTAATTAAAGTTATAAAAATAATACTCAATTATTAGAAAATAATTCAATATAATTTAAAATTTGATCCCAGGTAATGTGTATCATAATACTATATAATAAACTAATGTTTATCATAATTATCATGGTGGGAATATAGCTTATTGTCTGCCTCAGCTAAGAGAGTATAACTTACCTCCCAATTTCCCTTTTTGCCCCTATTTATTCACATTCCTACATGCTCTATTTATTTCTGAATATTAATATTTTATTCATATGCTAAATAAATTGAGCTTAAACAATAACACATGCTGTCAAACATATCCAATGAGATAGAGCATAATGAATGTGCTAAGTAAGTACTGTATGAGATCATTGAAAAATTAAGCATGGTTACATATATTTAGACCTATATGCATTACATACACACAATGTCAAACTTGATTTATTAATTGTAGAATATCAATTTCCCTGTTTCTGTGACCAGAGGATCCTAAACTATTTGAAAACATATTTTCTTTAGGAATACATTTATCGAAATACCTTGATATATTCCCCAGACCAAGAAGTATAGGCCAAGAAGAAAAAAATTAAGAGGTATTTTTTTTTCCATTGCATAGTATGGACCATGAAGAGTCAATATTTTTAAAGCCCTATTAATCTGAGCTCCAGGATATATTATTTTAAATCATCTATTTTTAAATTATATAAATAATACCTGTTAACACAGAAATTTTTGAAGACCTAGAAAAGCATGCAGAAAGCAACAGAAAACAATCTCTTATTAGCTCTCTGACCCTGGAGACTTAACCTCTCTGTGCCTCATTTTTCTTAAATGTGTAATGGGCTACTCATAAAACCTACCTTATTGGGTTATTAAGAGGATTAGTGAATTAATATTTGCAGAGAGCTTAGAACACTACATAGCACATAGTAAGCACATACTGTTAAGTAAATAAAATAAATTATGCTACCCAAACATAATAACTTAAAAATTGGGGGTATATTCTTCCAGCATTTTAGTATATGACATGTATATGTATATAAATAAAATGGTATTACATTCTGCATAATGTTAGCAGCTTGATTTTTCATTTAGCATTTACTTTGAAATAGTTTTGAAAGAGAATTAAGCAATAAAAAGAAAGGATCCATGGTATTGAATTTCACTGATGTCTCATTCCGCAAACCTTTTATGGATGTCTACTGTGGTCAGGACCTGTACTAATCTCTATGCAGGACAAATTCCCTGTCCATTACACAGGGTTTGTACTGACAATTGGAACTGAAAATATAAATGAAAGAATCTAATACCTAACACTGGGTATATTTATTATGCGCCAGACACTGTTCCAAGTGCTTCAGTAGTATACTGCTTACAACAAATATTATCATCACCATTTACAGATAAAAAGATTGAAGCACAGAGAGGCTAAGTAAATATCTCAAGTTCAAATAGCTAGTAACAGATAAAGCCAGAGTTTGAACCCAGGTCATCTGGCTCTGAGATCTGTATACTTAAATTCACTCTCTGCTGCCCATCATGCTATGGCACGATGATAGTCCAGTTCTAACTGCCTCTCTGGTTTCATCACACAATAATCCTCTGTCCTCTCTAGGCACTATTCCCCAACTAAATCCTGCACTATTATGCCTCCAGTTTTTCTGTTCATGCTGTGTTTTCTGTTGGAATGTTCCTTTCTTATGCTTTTGCCTGTCAGAATCTCTAGCTTATTCTGCAAGTTCCAGCTCAAATGACATCCACTCTCAAACCATTACACCCACTTCAGTATTACTCATTTCCTCTTTCTTTCTATAGCACACTTTGAAAAATATAACCCTATTATAGCATCTACTACAGCCTGATGTATTATACTCCCCTTTCTCTGAAAACAGGAATTGAATCTATTCATTTCAGTATTGCTAGCACCATATACAGTGCTTTCACAGAATGAGTTCAGCAAATAAATATTTTCTGGATGGAATTGACACAACTGCAGTGGTCTAGGACAGAAATAATGTGGACAGAAACTAAGCACAATGGAAATGGAAGGGACCTAGAAAATGATTTTCAATAATTAAAGCAATTGATTTATTTTTCCTTTCATGTTTTTCTCTTTGGGGAGGCTTTGGAGGAGCACAGTAAAGCATCATCAGATAGTGTGGGAATTAGTCTTCATGGTGGAGGGTAGCCATGATTCAAGACCCAGAGTTATTTATTAAACCTAGAGCACTTCATTTAACATTTTTGAGGACTCAATTTCCTCATCACTAAAATGGGACTGAATACTTTAATTGGAACATTGCTGTGAGGATTAAAAACAACTAACATCAAAGGATTAAGAGCTCTGTAAATATTAATAATTGTTATAAAAACTTCCCTCTAGCAACTATGGAATTCTCACCCAATGACAAATTATAAAGTGGTTAAAAGTACAAGATTCAATGTAAAACACGTCTGTGTTTGAAAATCTGCTTTACCTGTTTCTAGCTACATGACCTCAGGCGAGTTAACTAAACAAGATCTAAGCTTTTGTTTTCTAAAAGAAGTTGAGTTGAAAAAACTGACTGAATATAAAGTGCCTAAGTACATATAGTTTGCTCAATAAATGTGACCTATAAATGTAAAAAATCAAACTTCTTGGGAAGTAAAAGGGGTTAAGTATATAAAAGGATTATTCTAATGTCCAGCACATAATAAATTCTCAAAAATATTAGCCATAATAAGCATATATATAACAGATATGTTGATATAAACATATACATGAAACAAGTATAACCTGTATTCGAAGTGTAAAGACAGAACCTATTATTAATAGAACTGGATCGAATTTGTGTTTTACGGGAAAATGTTATATGCAGAGCCCCAGAATGACTGGACTTGGGTGTGAAAACAATAAACACAAGTGTCATTGCTCACAGATACCCTTAACATAGGCATACTATATATACACTGTACTTCATCTATGCTTTTTTTCTCCAGAGAAACACATTTCATCTGCAGTTATGTAGTCAATTTCCAGGTACCTCTATAAACAGGTGTCAAGATACAGTGACACTATATATTTAACAAAAATCCTTAATGTCTTAAAATAAAAATAAAGTATATAGTCTGGTCTGTAAGGATAAATTTATTTAACAGCAGAGTTGGTGATTGATGACTTGATAATATAAATCCATAATAGAAACGTATATACAGTTACTACATATGAAAATAAACATATATTTGCTGGCAAGTAACAATGAGTATAAAAGGGAAAAATGATGAGAAAATATAAAATAATATTGACTTTAAATTTCTATTTTAGAAAAGTTTTTTTTTTACTTTTCTAATAATATAAACAATAAATGTGCATTAAAATAATTTAGTAAAATACATGGTACCTAGAAGAGAAAAAAATATACACTGTATGACCACCCATGGGGAAACCCCTGTTAGATTTTGACATATTTCTTTTTTTTTTTTTTTTTTGCGGTACGCGGGCCTCTCACTGTTGTGGCCTCTCCCTTTGCGGAGCATAGGCTCCGGACCCGCAGGCTCTGCAGGCCATGGGTCACGGGCCCAGCCGCTCTGCGGCATGTGGGATCTTCCCGGACCGGGGCACAAACCCATGTCCCCTGCATCAGCAGGCGGACTCTCAACCACTGTGCCACCAGGGAAGCCCGACATATTTCTTTATAAAAACTTTTGTCTCTAATTTCTAATATTATTTTTAATAATGTTCTTTGCTAGATCAATGACTTTGTGAAGGGAACTACATTCAACCTCAGGCTTGATTAATGTGTAGTCAGCAAAGGATAGTGACCCTGCAAATGTAGAACATGCAATGGTTAATTCAGTCACAGAGATCTGCATTTGGTGCTGACCATGTTTATGTATTTCTGCAAAGTCATAGTCAACTTATAATTACCATATTTTGCATTTCATTGAGTGAATAAATGACAGCCTTTCCAGTGGTTGGATTGGGAACAGGTGAGAAAGGAGTTTTGGGGGAGAGGAGAGTATTTTAGTGTATCAAGAGCAGAGAGATCGGGATTCCATTATTTTTCATAGAAAGCAACAGTGCTGACATTTTGTTTAAGGTTTGCTTTATTCACCAATTATGAAGGCCAGTAGTGTTTGCAACTGTAACTAATGATAATATGGACCTTCTATAAACACAAGTTCATTCAAAACATGTTTATATAATATGTGAGGGTGCGTGTGTGTATGTGTAATGTTTTGAGGAAAATTTGAAAAAACAATTTGGTGTACCTTTCAATTTCTAAACTTTCTCAGATAAAGAGTAAGCTCATAAAGTTTCAGAACATAAAAAGGTGCCCAGTATATAAATACTGAAATAGGAGAGACATATCATTTTACTCATTATCTGGTAAACTACCTTCCTCCTAAAATGCACCATGTTCTCTTGTTATCTCCTAACAATAATTAAAAAGTTAGGGCAGAAAGGAAAATGTATAACAAAGTATCACAGTAATACTTAGAAACAGCTATAAAAGTCATTCGGTTACTAACCGCTTATTTACCTGTTGTTTTAGCATGGCTGCGGGAACTTTGTCCGTGTAATTCAGGCTTTCAACCGCACACATTTGTATGTTTGTGGGAGTGGTGCTTTCAGCCCAGTCTGTACTTATTTGAACAGAGGGAGGAGATCAGAGGTAAGTGTAACAATTTTTCATTCTTAGTTTGATGTTAGTGTCAAAGATTTCTTACAACTGTATTTAACAGTAAAAACTTGGAAATATCATTAATGGCCATAAAAAAAGTTTCAAGCCCTTTAAACACAAAATATATTACATTTGGTTCCTGTCTGCCAGGTTACTTCAAGTATAGCCTTTTGCCTTCAATTAAATATATATGTTTCTGAATGGAAAAGCTGCAGAAGATAAAGGAAGGAGAATGGTATAATTTCATAATTACTCAGAGCATAAGGTATTGATAATATGTGCTCCAAATTATAGAAATATTGTAGTATAAACTCACTTTCTCAAATCTATTTTATGTAATTTCTTATTTATCATATTTCAAATTTGGTAAATTTTTATGAGGTAGACACCTGTAAGAGATGTATAAAGCAGGATGACAAGCGCCTTAGCTGAAAAGAACTTTATATAATTAATAAATCATACTTCCATTTTAGACCAACATTGGTCTACACTAGGCTATTATAGCTTTATTTTTACATTGGTTAAAATGATTTGGGGTTCTGTGAACAAAAGCATTTACTAAAGACTAAATACATAGCTAATTGTATAGTCAAATATAAGGCTGGTTGAACTTCACCTGTGATGTTTAAGACTGTTTATCTCAGTTCACAATTATTGACTAAGGAAACTACGCATTAGATCAAAAGAGTTTTCCTTATTCTTTTAATGAAACATGTTGCTTTACTTAATACAAGTATTTTAAAACTGAATTCTTTCAAATTAACTTGCTTTTGTTTCATTATGCAACTTAAATCTAGAAATTCCAGTCCTTAAATAATATCTTAATTCAATTTTAGAGGTTAGAATTGTAAAAAAAGATTAAATATTGCTACTGATATACTTAAGTTTATTTTTCTTTAACAAGGATTCATCCACTTTAGTACTAACATAATTGAACAATGATTTCCTCTATAGTCTTTTATTATTAAATTTTTTTCAGATGTAATTTATATGTATCTATCTTTCAGTGAATAAAATGCCATTTAAAAATAAATGAGTAATTATAATTGGACCCCAAATTGAGCCATTTACAAGTAGTTTAAGATGATATGAAATATTAAAATTCTTAAAGAAAAGTAAAGCTATGCTTCTTGGAAGAGTACAATTGGCTGAATTGAGCTTGTCATTAGAACCACATGCCTGTGATCAGCTGATTAAATAAACTAGTGTCCCAGACGTCTGCAGTCTGTCAGACACTCCACTGAGGGCTGTGCAGTCACTGTACAGGCCAACAACTGCATAGCAGTTTTCATATTTTAAATAAAATCATTTTCCCATGTACAAATTGCCCACTATACACTTCAGGGTTTAATTGGGAAGTTGGTCCAAAAAATAATCTCCTTTGGAAAACCAGCATGGAATAAATTTTAATCACTTTACTGAATATGAACTACTTTAGTCTCACTTCAAAAGATGTGTTTCAAAGGGGAATCATTTCCATTAATTAATCTCTTTAAATAATATATTAAGAGCCTATTTAAGTGTGAAAAAGATTATGAAATTTTAAGCTTTTTGTTTTCCTTAATAGTCAAGTCAAAGTGTTTCACCACAACATCATTTTTATATATCTGTAGTATATAAGTAATAATATAAATATAGAATGCACAGTTTTATCAAACATCTTATGTATTTATTTTCTTTAGTTTAGAATGAAAGACCACATGATGCAGGAAGTTGTATTTTGAGAGAATTCTCCTTATTCATCGCTAACATTGTATTTTGTAGTGATCAGAGGTAGTACTTACTGCTAACACCCTATGTTAGCACTAAGATATAGCATTTTTCATGTATTTGAAACCACTTTGAAAGTGAACCAGGTTAGGGTGGCACAGTCATTAAGTATTCCTGTTTATTTCTGACACATTATCTACCATCTTTTATTTGCCTGTCTAATAGCAATTCATTGGTTCTCAGAGAACATTTTGTAACCCTACTTCACATTTGGAACACCACGCACTTTCATGAGACTCTATGGCCCTTCCATTATTTTGTGAGACTGATTCAGAGCTTTCCTAGAGCAATTCAATGGTGTCCATCCAAAGAGCCTACAATCTTTGCTACATAGATTCCTAACCATAGTTCTTCTCTTTTATCCACTGTCTTCTGTTTCTGGAAAAAGATAAAGCAACACAAGTAAATGATGACTTTAACTAATGAATAAAACATTAATAAGAAACAATTATTGGTTAATTGTGCTGCACATTCTTGGAATGTTACCTCTCATCTTGGGTTAATTTTATCAGATGCCTCCATAACATCAGTTCTCATAACTGAATACTGTTTAAGCCCCGGATGCTGCCACTCATCAAGCAGATAACCTTGCCTTTGATTGACCAAGAATATCACAGGCATTCAAATTATTCCATGTGCTTTTTGAACAAAATTAATCACCAAACTTTTCTGTTTATGCATCTTTTTGTAGCTTTTCTCTTGTCAGAAGCATAGCTGTGCATTTTCCTTATCAAGAAAGTTCTCTGATCTTTAGCCTTCACTGTTTTACGTCTTCATTCCCTTTCCCCTGTATTTACTCTTTTTTTCTTGTTTAACAATAAATTTTCTTTCTTGTGACTTTTTTCAACTCTTCTCCTTTCTCTCTTTTACTGTATCACAAAACTTCTCGGATTAGTAGGCTATATTTTCAGCTTTTACAATCCTATTTTCCATGTCTTTCATTAAACCTTTCTAATCTAAATTTCATTTTCACCCATTAACTGAAACTCTTCCCTAATGACCAAGATTCTCAGTGATCAAAGGGACTCCCCTAATCAGCATCCTTTCTCCTAGACCAATCTATGACACGTTGGTCATGCCCTCTATTTTTCAGTGCCGTTATTATTATTATTTTTTTGTGTGTGTGTGGTACGCGGGCCTCTCACTGTGGTGGCCTCTCCCATTGCGCAGCACAGGCTCCGGAAGCGCAGGCTCAGCAACCATGGCTCACGGGCCCAGCCGCTCCACGGCATGTGGGATCTTCCCGGACCGGTGCATGAACCCTTGTCCCCTGCATCAGCAGGCGGACCCTCAACCACTGCGCCACCAGGGAAGCCCAGTGCCGTTATTGACATCTATAACCATGGGACATCTTGCCATGCCTTCTTTCCTGATTTTTCACCACATACTCTCTTTCTGGTCCTATTTTTTCTCTTATTGATTCAATCTACAAATATGTATTTTTAATAAGAGTAATGGCAGAAACAAAATCATTTCAGAACTTGTAAGCTATCTTTAAGATACTGGTCTTTGTCCTGTGTCTAAGAAGAAGCAACTGAAACAACCTTAAGCAGAAAGTGCCATGAACAGAATTGTGTTGTCACTTGTATTTTACATTACATTGATACTTTTGTTGTTCGTTTTTTGTTTGTTTGTTTGTTAGCTTCTTTAATTATAAAGTGGCCATGAACTGAGATGAGAAACAATGAAGAGAACCATGTCTGAGGTTAAAATTATGAGCCTGGGTTTGATTCTGTTGAGTCTGAGATGCTGCTGAAAGATACAAGTAGAAATATCAAGTAGGCAGCTGAATATAAATTTGGCTATATAAATGTTTGAGTAATTGTTTCATAAGAGTAACTGAAGCCCAAAGTGTAGATTTAATCATGCAGAAAGAGTATAGTATGAAAAGAATGATTATGACTGAGACTTGAGGATCTCCTAACTTTAAATGGCCAGATGGAGGAAAAGGGATCTCCAAAAAAGACTAAAAAGAAACAAGAGGAGAGGAAAAAAAAAAAGTGTGTTCTGGGAATAAAAACAAGTCATTTAAAAAAGATAGAAGTGGACAACAATCTCAAATACCATTGAGAATCCAAGAAAGAAGAGGTCTAAAAAAATAAGCACTGAATTGTGTACATGATAGTCATTAGGGGTCTTGCCAAAAAAGGGTTTCAATAGAGCAGTTGAGGTTGGATGCCCAACTGAAGTGGATTGAGAAGAAAGTGAGAACTCAGGAAATGGTGATGAGTATATGTAATTCTTTAAGAAATGTGATTCTCAAGGAGAGTAATGTATAAGAGCTGAAGGAGTTGTTGAAATAATGTTGTAAAGGATCCAGTTAATGAGATTAAAGAACAAGTAGGGGACTTCCCTACTTGTGGCAGTGGTTAAGAATCCACCTGCCAATGCAGGGGATACAAGTTTGAGCCCTGGTCCAGGAAAATCCCACATGCAGAGGAACAACTAAGCCCGTGTGCCACAACTACTGAGCCCATGCGCCACAACTACTGAAGCCTGCGTGCCTAGAGCTCGTGCTCTGCAACAAGAGAAGCCACCGCAATGAGAAAGCCGCGCACCGCAATGAAGAGTAGCCCCCGCTCCCTGCAACTAGAGAAAGACCGTGCGCAGCAACGAAGACCCAACACAGGCAAAAATAAATAAATAAAATAATTAATTAAAAAAAAAAAAAAAGAACGAGTAGGGATAATGGAAAGTATAAGTTGCCTAAGAAGACTGGGTAAGATAGGACCTGAAACACTGGTGGAAGGATTGGCCTCAGAGTAAGAGAAATATTTCCTCTCGTGTATTAGTGGATGTATTCACGTATAGTTATATATTTGGTAGTGAGAAACTGATGCCTTATTTAAGGGCTTCACTTTCTAAGCAACATGGTTGTCAATCATATGAGCTGAGAATAAATTGGGAGATTTGACGATAGTGGCAATGGTTTGAAGTTATCAAGGGAAGAACCAGTTGATAGAGTGCCTTTGAAAGGTTGCTGAGCAGTGTAGAGGGTTCACTTTAAGTTGGTGATCAAAAATCTATACTATGTTGAATACACCTTGTTGGATAACCTTTCGCAAAATGCTTAGAAGTTTGGAGGCAGGTGTGGAGAATGTAGGTAGATGTGTCTTTATAGGCTATGAGTGCAATGAAAACAATCACAGATTCAAGGAAATTAATATTGATATTTTTGAAAAAAACAATTAAAAAGCATGGAATCTAATCTATCTATCAAGAAGATAGAAGGCTGATAAACTGTAAAAAATAGAAAGGGTTCTTAGGCGATGAGTTTGAAGAATTGTTGCAGGGTGCTTGAATTAGTCATTATTCAGGTAGATCACATCCCTTCCTGGGGATGACAAGATCTAGACTATCACTGTGTGAGTACAAGGAGGCTATGCAATGGAGAAGGAAGTCAGTGGCGAGCAAGTGGTGCCTAAGCAATCTCCTCAATTCCTGCAGTGCCAGCTGTCACTTTTTTAGTCAAATCTATGTATGACTCTGGCTACACAACCAAGTTTACTAAATTGTATTGTTTTCCTGCAGGTTTATCATTGTTTAGTTATTGTATAAATGATGACCTCTTGGAAAGCAGACATAGTTAGGAGTCAGGAGACTGAATTTTAATTTTGCTTTTGTCACTATTTAGCTATGGGTGATCTTGGACAAGTCATATTTTCCTCATCTTTAGAGTTAATCCATGAAGAGCGTCGTGTTATAGGACCTTTCTAGGCTAGAGCACTGTGATTCTTTTTAAGCTCTCTAATTTCCCATTACCTCAGGGATTTCCCGCCAATACATCAAACTCAGTATAACAAAAATGAACTAGTTTTATTTTCTTTAAAGAGTCAAAACTTCAGAATCAACTTTGTTTTCTTCATCTTCTTGAGCTGCCTCCAATTTGTTATTGATTGCCAAGCTCTGTCGATTTTCACTTTACAAATCCTCTTACATCTTTACCACTCTTACCCTGACCACTGAGATCCTGGCATGTCGGATTATTATTACCTAATTCCTGGACTACTGCAGTTCAAAACAAGTTTGTTTTCTTGAACCCAGTGTCTGTCTTTACAACCACCATTCTCAATCTTCTTAAAGCACAAGTAAGACCCAATCTTCTTAAAGCAATGTTTTGAATCCTTCTATTCCATGCTCAAAAATGTTGAGCCCGTATTTCATTCAGGATAATTTTGAAAAGCAGCTTGATAATTAAGGTCCTCCATCATTTAATGCAATCTACAAATGTGATCATTTTTCTTTGAATTTTAGTAGTAGCTTTTACTAACTTTATGTAAGAAAAACGATAAATATACCAACAAAATGCTCCCTCTAACTGAGGCTACACTGACCATTATATTTCGAATTGAACCCACTGCCCCCCATCCGTGGATTTCCCTAGTCCCATTCCCTGTTTAATTTTTTCCTAAGCACTGAGTACCATCTAACATACTTTATATTTTACGTATTTATTCTCTTTATATTCTTTATTTATATTATCTGTCATTAGATTATAAATTACCTACAGGTAAGGATTTTTGTCTATTTTGTTTACTCTACCCCCAATGTTTTGTCAGTGTCTGGCAAGTAGTAGGTGCTCAATAAATTTTTGTTAAATAAATAAATGAATGAGTAAAAGAAACATTTTAATCTAAATTATGAATTATTTTGTTGAATCTAGTATAATGCTTTATATAACAAAATAAGTGGTAACAAAATTTTATGTTTAAAAAAATCTTGATTATTTTGAAAGTTTCATAATCCTCATACACATTGCTTCTCTGTAATCAGTTTTCTTCTTTTGGCCAATGTTCAACATACCTAGTTCAGGTTTACAGTGATCCTTGATTTCCAAGTGTTTTTTATTGATGTTGATTTGAGAACTTGTTGGATCAGCTTTATGGGGAGTGTAGTAGGATGTGAACTTGACCTGCTGAGGTTAGCTTTATAACTTACAAATGGATTCTTCATATAGGCCAAGAGAGTCTTAATATAGTAAAATTGGGAAGGCATAAGCAACCAAGTAGAAAGCATATTATTTATGATGATGCTTTGTTTTACTAAAGAAAAATTGGTTAACTAAGATAAAGTAATTTATCGTTACTACATTTCCAATTTTATCTGTAATAAAGGACCAAGTTTTCATGATTGACTCCAAGTGTGAATCCGGAAAAGGACGCTGCTCTTTCAACCCCAATGTGAACACAGTGTCTGTTATGATCAGTAAGTGGAAAATAAAAGAGGGAGGGGGAAATATTTTTTTAAAAAGGAAATTAAATTAATTAAAGAAAATAAATTCATGATACCATATGCCCATTTTGGATAGCTGCATGGATGATAGCACCTGAGTAAAATAATAGAAAGTTGTGAGAAATTTTAATTTCTCGTTTCCAAGAATATTCATGATTAAATGATAACCATGTATTTTTTCATCTAATATGACTGCTGTTATTTGTAGAGCAAGTCAACCATTTAAAAAGCATATGTATGTATATATATATATTAATAGGTATTGTGTATGTGCATACATATATTAATATATATTATAAAGTAACTTTCAGTGTTTTCTGTAGTTGTTTTTCTAGTATTAATTATATTCACTTTTCCTCATGTTTTAGTAATCTTTTACAAATGATTAAAACTGGTATTTCTTTCATGCAAAATAATAACAAAGTGCATGTGTTAGCTAAGTACATTCTCTGTGGATTGTCTAGAAGTTGCTGTACTAAAAAAGATGTGCTCATAAAACCACTTTTTTATTTTCTCATTTTTTATAAAATATATCAGTTAAAAAGCAGGCCCAGTTGATTGCTGCTACACACATTAATAAATCAATATCCTTGAGTCTCAATCATCCAGTGCCTGTCTATACCTCACTTAGAAGACATTCTTTTCTGGCTAATTAAGACACTTCTGGAATATGTCTGACTTAACATTAGTTGACTGTGGGACAAATCTTGGATTTCAGTATGCCGATTATATAGTAAATGCTTTTCCCTTTTTGTTTCTCTATGTATTGCCAGTGGTAAAATTGCATCATTTGACAGTAGAACAGGTGGAAACATAATTAATTTGTTCAAAACCCTTTGCTTTGATTCATTTAAAAAGGCAACTCATCGTTCTTTCTCAGATCTGGAAACTAAATTAAGACAAATACATCCAGCACTGACTGAAATGTGAGCTTGGAAATTATCCAGTAAATTATTTCCCTATAGTCATTCAAATTGGGTAGGGAGGAAATGAAAATGTATCATTAGGACAGAAAAATTAGAAAGCTTTGAAACTTCAAGATATCCAATTAAGTCTGATGCAGAGTATTTTCAAATAAGTTTCTAAATATTATTTAATAGAAGCAGTGTCTCAGAAATTATTTTCTTCATGAGGAAGAAAATTTTATTCACCTTTAGAAACTGTAAGATTTGTATAGTACTAGATAAATATATAAAGTTTTTACTTATTTCAAGTTAAATGCTATGAAAATAAACTTCAAAATTCTAAATTATTGTTAACACATGCTGGAGTTTTATCTCATCAAATATTATTTAGAACAAAAAAGCGTTAAAACAAGGCAGTATAAATTTTCCTGTTAAACGGTAGTAAGTCATGTAATAGTTTTGCGCTTTAGAGAATTGGATTCATTTATGAAATTAAAGTTGTCATTGCTCTTCATTTTTCAAGGACCTGAGACTTCAATTCCTAGGCTTATATTCCTATGCTACTTTTTAATATTTTGATTAACATTATAATTTTTACTCTCAAAGAAAATCATTAAACAGTTTGCTTAACTTGAAACCTGAAACTAAAAAGAGCAGGAAGTTTTATAACCTTATATTTATCATCTTATTTATTCTACCTATTATCCCTGTAATATTATCTCTAATATTTCATTTGTGTACTCATCTCACTTTGCTATTTGATGTTGTATCATTTCTGTTCAATTGCAGTGCACTAAATAACACAAATTGGTTAAAATATTTCTATCTATTAAAGTGCCAAGAAGCGTTGAGCATTAGAATTTCAAATTACATAATATAGCGTGGCATCTGGCCCAACGTGCTAGTGTTCTTTTGCTATTTTTAGTAATTATTGTAGCACAACAAAGTCAGATGACATCTCTTAAAGAACCTCTTCAAAACCTCATGAGATATTTTTTAGTCAGTGGAAGTACAACTGGAAAGCAAAATATTTTTGGATTAAAGTTTAAATTGAGCAAGTTTATCTTTGCATAAACCCTACAATGAAATTCTGAAAGAAAAGAATTTCTACTCTCAAATAAAATTCTTTCCAAAGTGACATTAATTAAATATTTCTTACACAAAATAAAGCAGAAACTTTATTATCCTTAACTTGCTATTAAAATTGCTGAGAATTTAAGACAGGAAATGAAGCCAATTAGCCATCTAACTCTTTTGTAATGTTTAAGACATAACTAATAAGGTGGTATACAGTAGGGTTAGAATCAGTCCTGTCTGCCATAAACCATCCTCTGAGTGTCCTTTTATTTTCCTTCCTGTAAACAGATGCTAATAAATCTATTGACTATCAGGAATTTATAACCTTCTCTTTTGGGCATAATTGGATATAACAAAGCTGTGAAATAATTAATTACAAAGTTTTCTCAATTTAACAATCATTGTATCTACAGAATACTTGTGTAGATGCTTCACAAATGTTCACAAAATTGTAAAGAAGCTAAATAGCTCAAAATTCTTTCAGGCACGTTTTGTTATCTCCCTATAATCTGTTCCCATGGACTTCAGATCTCTACCAGGAAGCAGAACTTGGTGACACAATGCCTGCCATACCCACTTGCTAACTGGTAGGGGTCCAGTTTGTGACCTGGTGAGCACATATTAAAAACATTCCATTCTCCATTCTATCCTAGGCCAACTGGTATTGCTTATTACTAAACAGTGAGCTTAGAGTGCTTTAAAATGTTTCAGTCCTGCCAAAATGACCACAATCTAAAGGTAGCCAGGAGAGTAATTCTAGAACATTAGTCAAAGAACGCAGCTGCATGGTAGTTCAGTGGGCCAAACCTGATCAATTTTATTATTTTTTAATAGATACTTAACTTTGTGCTCAAAGGTCATACATACCAATTTACCGCTTACTCCCCTTACTAGAATAAAAATTAATGTGGATCTTAACAAATAAGCAAAATGTCCAGTGTTGAGCGCATACAGATTAACATATCTTATTTTGTCATTAATAATGATAATTTAATTTAATTTTACAATATCTTTTTTCTTATTTTTAAGTTTTATTTTATATGTGCTAATATGTTAAGCCACATATGGCTTATTAACATCATATTATATTGTTAACATAATGTTAACACATTACGTGTTGCAATTGAAAAAGTAGCAGTTTGTTTACCTTAGAGAAACCTTCTAGCATAAAGATCAAAACATATACATTTAATGATGAAATTGTTTTATCATTAATAGTACTTTGACAATTTGATGTGGCTCCATCTCATGAAATAATAATAATAAAAACTATTATTTTCAATCCATTTAGTAAAATCATAGAGTTTTTAATATATACTGCGAACTTTTGATCATAATCCAATTCCCATAGAAGTTTGAGATTCAGGGTACTAAATGACTTATCCCTAATTCCCAGTTTAACTACGGCCAAAATTAGAAATCAAGATTTCTGACTCTTACAGTATTTTTTATTTATTAAAGAAGTAATAATTGAGCCATTTCTTTATTTTTATACCTATATTATTTCTGCCATTTCGGATACACACTACACTATATAATCAAGTTTAGTTAAGTATTTAGTATAATTAAGTACAGGCAGAGGAATTTTTATCTCTATATCAGAAAGATTGTTTTGGTCATTATACGGGCAATAATGAGACCAAATTAAACTTTATCCAATTTTTTAATTTGGTGAACAATGGAAACCAATTAACAGCTATAAATATTCTGTAATATGTGTCATGATCTAATAAGCAAATTCTCCTTGATTTTAAAAATAACCTTAAAAACAGTTAAGATTTGCTTTTAATTTTGTTCACATTTTCTTTTTCATAGATGAGGAGCTTTTCTCTGCAATGTATATAGATTTCATGGGAACAGATGCAGCTATTTTTCGAAGTTTAACCAAGAGGAATGCAGTCAGAACTGATCAACACAATTCCAAATGGCTAAGTGGTAAAATAACAGTTTATCCATTTTCTGAGAATCATACTTTAAACTAATTTAATTTCATAATGAAAATTACATTAAAATGGTTAAAAAGTTAAAATATGAGTAACAACAATTCTGTACTCTGTGATTTTAAAAATTTAGGCTAAATAAGTAAATGAAATGAGCCATATTTCATATTCTAACTGTTTATTAACAGTCATAGAATTATCATAGGATATATGAATATATAAATGTCACAGTGATATTCATCATATGTACCTATAGACAAGAATCTTCTCCAGTTGTTTAATTGTTGCATGTTACAATTAAACGTCATTCATTTATTTGGTCTACTTGTATATTTTAATAATGCCAAATCTAAACATTTTCCTAAATTTATGACAGATATCACGAATAGGGCATATTTAGGAACTCCTATTTGTTTTATGCTTAGATTCTAAAATTATAAAGCTGGTATATATTATTTTTTCACAGTTTGACTAATAATGGAAATCACAAGTATGATAATTTTATGATTATCAGTGTTCAAATGTTTTCAATTTTGGGGGTCACATGGAATTCACATCATGAAAAGTGCTCATTTGACTCTAATGTACAATTCCAATCAGTTGCTGTTGTTTAGAGGAAGAAGAAACCACTAAGATCTTTGTCATTTCACCCTGGGGAAAATTTAAGCTGACTTTAGATTTGGCAATTCACTTAACATTAAACAGTTAAGCATGAATCACTACAGTTAAGCATCTTATTTCACTGACAGACCAGCACAAGAAAGCAGTGATTGTCCATTTACTTCTTCAAATTATTCCTCCAGTACATCTGGAAATAGAGTATTCTGAAAATTGTTTTGTTCTTGAAATAAGGAATCCCTCTATGTCTTCAAATGACTGCATTTTTTCCTTGAAAAGTTTCCCCTTCATTTCATATGCCGTATTTTAAGTGAAATGTGTTTTTCAGATCATGGACTCCCAACTCCTCATTCTGCTTCAGTGAATTTGAGTTTATATGCACTAGCCTGAAAACCACACGTTCAAAAACAAACTTTTTTTTTCTATGAAACGACTATCAGATCCCATGGGAAATAACTGGTAGAAGAGTTTTTCAGTATTTTAAAACTCATCAGGCACAAAGAAGTTTTGCAATTAGTGTACTTCCAGAATGTATTGCAGACAGAGAAAAATAGTTGAAGCTTTATATCATAGCTCTACTTTATGGCACTTGACATTCCAAATGCGGTATGTTCAGTGAATACAATTGCTTTCTTTTAGACTTTTTGGCTATGAATATTGAATTGTTCCTTTATACCAAAGATGGGGAAGGCATGTGCCTGTGGTCTGCTTGGATGGAGAGTAGATGGATTTTCATCATGAGTATATATATTGTCTTTGTATTTTTTTCTAGAACCTATGTTTGTGGATGCACATGTTATCCCAGATGGCACTGATCCAAATGATGCTAAGGTGTACTTCTTCTTCAAAGAGAAACTGACCGACAATAGCAGAAGCACAAAACAGATTCATTCCATGATTGCTAGAATATGTCCTGTAAGTATTAAAGTTGTTCTAATTTGATGAAAGACTAAGAAATTCAAATTATGTAAACATGTCTTCTTTTCCCAATAGTTTATCTTCCTACTTTTTAAATCTATGGTTACAAATTAATAAAATATTAAAAGGAGGCATTTAGATTTAATGTTTATTCACATCAGTCATACAAGATAAACACACTATTTTGGAAAATAATTTAATCCAAGGAATATTTTGGTTATGATTTTACACAAATAAACAGTTTTGATTAATTTTTGCTTTTTTCCACTTAATGCATTAGAATTAAAAAGAAATTGCTGAATTGTATATTATAAAAAGAAATAGAACAATTCTTATGAATAAAATACAGTAAAAGACAATTATTGAGGAACTGTCTATAATAGTGAGAATTAAGAAATGCTTTAGTAAAATACAGTTCTAATTACAAACTGATCAAAATATTCTTGTGTATCAAGAGTAAGTATACATAGAAACTCAAAAAAACTCATGATGTCTTCTCACATAAGAGTATTACAGGCTTGTCCTGACTCATTTATGATTAGCATCTTCTGTGCAAAAGTATTTCTTAAAATATTTAGTGTTTAAAATAGTCTATTTTTAAGCATTATAATATTCCACTGATTTTGGAGCTTATCTGCTTCTCAGTCATTTGGAACAAGGCAGTGAAGCCAGCTGATGATGTGAAAAGCTTCAGGAAGTACAGAAAAAACGTCATTCAATAGAGACTATTTGTGAATGATCCAAATACCATTTTCCTTGCCCTGACCAGAGAAATATGTATATAAAGCATCTGATTAGAAATATTAAGGATTAAATGATAATGCAGAGAAATGAAGGAGAGAAAATAGAATTATCGGGGACTATTTGGTGTAAGTATAAACGCACTCTCCTGACCACGGTAGAATCTGCACGCTTCCCTGTATACAATCATTTATGTTTGTACTGAAGAAAATGAGTTATCAAGAAAAGGCAAATTAAATTATGTAGTCTCCATAACAGCTTACTCATATTTTCATCAGAAATTTAGAAAGTGTTATGGCATATATTTATTAAATTCATTTTGATACATTTTCAGTTGATATCATATAATAGGAGAATAACAGTATAACTAAGGCTATTTTTAAAAAATACTATAGATCTTAAATATTCCTCTTTAACTATTGATATGCAGATTTGGTTTTAACATTTCCATCTTTCAGATTATAACAAATCCCCAAGTAGTAAGAATCCAAGGTAAATTTTAAATACACTTCAATATTTATTTAAGCAATCTGAAATGTGTTTACAAAATGGTTTCAGAATGACACTGGTGGACTGCGTAGCCTTGTCAACAAGTGGACTACCTTCTTAAAAGCGAGGCTGGTATGCTCGGTAACTGATGAAGATGGCCCAGAAACACACTTTGATGAACTAGGTACATAAATGTGAGATGGAAAAATGTTCTTGAAAGAGAGTTTGTAAAGTTTACATATTTTAATAAACTCTCAAAAGAGGTTGTATTTTTCATGAATGTTTTCAGCATAAGTAAGTGCTGATTTGAATTAATGATCTGGATACTGTTCATGAATTTCCTGAGTATTTTTTAAATCTGTCTTGCCCCTAAGTGCACTGCTGAAACATTTAGTTCATTGAACCCACCATGATATATGAATTCGTGTGTTTTGTATGTGTGTTTGTGTGTGTTTTAGAGAGAGAAGAGAGAGGTATTTATATAATTTATATATAAGTAATGATATGTTTGTGCTTTTCTAAAATAAATGTATATTTCATATATATTTGAATTCTGATATTCTGGTTTAAAATCAGTTTGTATGAGAATACAGCTATATATTTTTACTACAGTTAATGGACACAAAAGAGGTTAGATGGAAAAGTGTCAGAGTAGAAAGTAGACTTGTGCTCCAGTTTTAGTTCTTCTTGGTGACCCTGGGACTAAATATTCTCAGCATGTGTGACATGAGGAGGGTTATACTTTCCAGGTCAAATAAGGACTGACAATCTGATTCCTTTCTGCCAAGGAACAGTTCTCTCTCTTTTTTTTTTTTTTGAATTTAATTTAATTTTTTATACAGCACGTTCTTATTAGTTATCTATTTTATACATATTAGTGTATACATGTCAATCCCAATCTCCCAGTTCATCACACCACCACCCCGCCATCCACGCTTTTCCCCCTTGGTATCCATATGTTTCGAACAGTAGACTAACTTGGTACACATAATAGTATCGTGTTTACTAAGTGCCATTTAGAAATGACTTTTATTTTGCTTTAATCCATTAAAATATAAAATGCTGGTTAGTCTCAAATACTGAGGCAGGTGATGAGATAAGCAATAAAAATGTATTATAATATGGAAAAAATACTGGTTCTAGCAGCTACAATAATTGAAATAGACAGTTGGTCTCCTCAAAAAGCCATTATGTTGATCATAGAAACACAAGTTTTTATTTCAGCTTTTCTAGAAAAAACGTTCTAAGTATGATTTCATGTTATAACCTAGTTACTCATTATTTCCCCCCAAATTCTTTGCAAGTATATTTATGTTTCAGTGACTTAGAATGTTTCAGTCTTTCCCATTTTTAGGGAGAATAGACAGTGCCAGCCTTTTATGGAAAGACTAGTGATTATTCATTTATTGCTTAAGAGGTTCTAAATTTATTGTGAATAACAAAATACATCTTTCTCTGTATTGGTCAGCAAGAATCTTATTTGCAAAAAGGTCACTAAATCCAGATCTTTCTTGCATTCATAACAATTGGTTATTAATTGGAATTTCCTATCAGAAATTTACTTCCAGGTTCTGTTATATATTACTGTACCTTACGATCTATACTTTTGCCTTTGCCTCAATATACTTTAAAATTCTTGTTGTTAGGGGAATTATTGATTAAATAAAAATATCACTAGCAATTTTGACTAAAAGACAAAAAAGTCTTATAAGTCACTGTGAAAAAGTTTTCTTCCATGTTCCAAATTCTAACCCTAGATTAAAAAGAAATTGAGATTTGTAATACTTTTTAAATTAAAAATGTAATATATTATCATTAAGGATATTTAGAAAATTCAGGAAAAAAGAAGAAACAGGGAAATTTCTGTAGCTTTGTTAACCAGAAACACTCACTGGTAATCTTCTTATTGTATTCTGATGTATAGTTATAAGGTTTACATGGTTCTGGTCCATATTAAATACCATTGTGTCTTTTCTATTTAATATTATTTCATCAGCATAGTTTCCATAAGTGTTTGTGTAACATTTTATTTAACTTACTTTACCATGTGCTTATCATTTAGTTGCTGTCAAATTATAATGATGCTGCAGAAATATCTTTCTGAATAATACTTTTTGTACTTGAAATTATTTCTTAGGATAAATTTTTTAAATATTTGGGAATCTTAAAAATTGATATTTCCCTTTTATAGAGGATGTGTTTCTGCTGGAAACTGATAACCCAAGGACAACACTAGTGTATGGCATTTTTACAACATCAAGGTAATATTAAACAATTACATTGTATGAGTTAAACAATAAACTTTATTAAGTAATAGTAATTATTATAAAAACGTTCTTTTCAACTCTTTAATTTTACTTAACACTTAGGATGTAACTCTCTCATTTTATTATTTTTGCCTGATTACTAAAATATATTTAAGCTGAACTCAGAGTTTCAAAATAGTTTTGTATGGGGTATTTATAATGATTATATGCTATTTTTCTCAAAGAAAGGAAAATATAAACTACAATGCAGGGATAATGTATATAAGCTATTGTTTTAAGGAAATAATTTGAAGACTCATGATGCAAATAAAACTCTTAGCATTTCTATTATAATTTTTATTTCAATAGCAATCTAAAGTGATAGCTATGAACACACTAAACCAGTTTTCATGTTCCATGTGGCAGTATTTTAGATATTTGAAAATAGCTTTGTTTTCTAATTTATCTGGAATGCCCAATCCCAATTATCATGTATTTCAAGACAGTTCAGCATATTCTCATCCTTTCCTGCGTGTATTCCTGCGTACTCATTTTACACCAGGAATGTTACTCAGAATTCAGCACAATACTCCAGTTGTGATATGGCCAATTCAGAATGTCCTTTTCATCAGACAGTCAACTACAAAATGAAAATCTAAAGATTTTACCATTCTTCTCTACTGGGGGAAATGTGGTATAATTGTAAACTGTAATGATCTCTTCACAGTAAAAGAATATCACAGGGATATTGATTATAAATCATATTTACTTTGCCCTATAAGATATCTAAAAAGATGTCTTTCGGGATGAGTTTAACTCCTGTTTTAACAAAGGAAATAGTCTTGATTTAACTCACAAAGAATTGAACGAAGCAAAAAGAACCAGATTCTTAAGAAGAAAATGTTTGTCTCAAAAAAATATTTCCCTAGTTTCTGTGTTTCCCTAGTTCTGTGTTTCCCAACACCAATAACTTTAACATAGAAAAAATGTTGTCATTTCTGACTATTAATGCTAATGATTAATAATATATCTTGGTTTTCTCAATGGGCATCTAAGTTTCCCATTAGGCATCTAATTTAAGAGAAATATGTGATTCAGGAAAATGTTGGTTTCAGTCAGTCTGCTTAGTGACAATGGAAATAGTTTTCAGTATGCATCCAAATAAATTTTATGAGAATTTATTGACTAAACATAATTTAAGGAATCTTTTTTGGACTCTATTGTTTACAGCAGAGTAGCAGGGAATGTTTACAACAATTTCTCCAACTACTATTTAGGACAGCATTGTAAGAATACTCTCACATTGAAATAATCTTAAGACAAAGAGATACAGTGTTCTCTTATTAATGAGATTTATTTCTGTGAGGTAAACTATGATAGGTTATGTTGATACTGATTTAGAATTCAAATCATATTTTTAATAAATCATCAATTCACTTTTTGTTTAATATCTTCTGCAAGATAAACCAGTTGGAAATTTCTTTGACTTGTCCTATATTTAGGACAAGTACATTGAGTACTTTTCTATAACTTATTGTCTACTACCTCCATGGGTGAACTAAATGTTTTGATATCAATGGCTTATTTCAAAACAGTAGAAGTTTTTTAGTTTTTTACAATGTGTACCATAGCATTCAACTTTTCCATGATGAATTACATCAAGTTTTTATCACAAATTTTACCTTTATTTTTAAAATTGTATTTAAATTTTAAAAATAAGAAAATTAATATCTTTCTATTTTCTTTTTTAGCTCAGTTTTTAAAGGATCAGCAGTGTGTGTGTATCATTTATCTGATATACAGACTGTGTTTAATGGGCCTTTTGCCCACAAAGAAGGGCCCAATCATCAGCTGATTTCCTACCAGGGTAGAATTCCTTATCCTCGCCCTGGAACTGTAAGTATCCAGGAAACTTTCTTTGTTATTTTACTTTTTTAAAAAATATAAGTTACTAAGAAATGAATATCATGCTGATGTTTATTAAATACAACTATAGACCTACTGGTATACTCATTATAATTTTTCAGCTCACAGGTTCTTAGATTTGGGATTTTAAAAATATATATATTACAGCATTCTGTACAATTTTTTCTAAGTGCTATTGATAATAAAATCTCATTTATATTTCAAGACAGCTGGATATGTTAGGTAGGGAAGAGATATTTTCCTAATTTTACTGACATAAAAACCATAGCTTGGAAAGTGTTAACATTTTGAAGGCAGCCTAAGAATTTGAATGCTAGTTGCTTTTCACAATCCTTCCTTATATTAAGGAATCTCATCTACTTTAATGAAAGAATAATCATGTGAGAATTAGTTTAGAGATAAATCATGTGGAGATATTTCAATCTTAGGGATATATTTAGTTAAAATTATACGTTGTATATATTTCTCAAAGAAATAAAATGGTATGTGTGAGCAAGTAATGACAATGAAAGTGATGTAATTCAAATAAAATATTTATAAAGTTTTAAGGCATACAAATATAACCATGTCTTGCAACATTGTAGAATTAAGGGGTACATTGTAAACTACCTTTTCCAGCTGAAGTTACAGACAGTGCACTGGCAGATTGGAACTGAGTTTTTCTAGGACAATGATCACAGTCTTACTATTTGTTTTTAATTTGGACCATAATAATGCTGCATTGCATTCTAAAATATTGATTAGTTTCTGTCTCTGTAAAATGTCATACAACACACTGATTGAGAGGAGATGTTACACAATTGACCAAGAGGAATATAATCCTCTTATATCTTTGCATTTCATCAAGTAAGGTTATATTTATAAATTGGGTTGGAGGGAAGTAAAGAATGATTTTTTTTTTAATTGAAGGATATTTATTAAAATAATATTTACTTAAAATGTTTTTCTTTTTATTTGAATATGAAATCCCCTTTGTCAATATGCTTTCAGACATTCATTCCTCGTAATTTTTACTGACTGTTGATTCACTTTAGTTTTGTGTTATTATTAGAGTTTCTTTGCAATGCATTATTTACTCCTTTGTTTTCTCATCATCTTAAAGTATACTGCTGTCAAATGTTTTAAAAATAGAAAAAAGTGTGCTAAGCCTCTAAAGAACATGTTTATTCAAAATTAAAAGGGCTCAGGTTTGGTTCCCTGGCTAGTAAGCTCAAAGATTAGTCACTGATATGTATTTTATTAGAACAATTAACTTTTAATTAATTTTGGAAAGATTATCAGAATTGCTACTTATCCAGGAAAGAATTGTTTTAAAAAGTTGTAGTTAATCATGGCTGGCAACAAAGTCTTAACCATATAATTACATTCTCCTTTTAAATGATTTCACTTTGATGCTTATAGCTCAACAGAAGATGGAAGAAACATTTAATTATTTGGTACCACACAAGGAAAAGAAGTCAACAGATATATCCATCTTAGGGTACCTCAAGTTGGAGTGTGTTGGATAAGAAGCAGGGTTTACATAAGAGAAGGGAAAGCAAGGGGAAGCTGAATAACTTTCAAATTCCATCATAACTGAAGGCTCTCATTATTTCATTGAATGTAGTTCATGTATTTTCAAATGATTCACTGATAAAGTATCCAAAGATTTGTCATATTTTTGAGAATTGTTTGCTATTTGAATTTGACCAAGTCATTGCTTCATCTTAAATCAGCAAATTAAGAGGCGGTTGTGATTATATATGCTTTCATCAGTTATTCTTTTAAACAAAATATATATGGGATTAGTACAGGAGCAATTGATTTGTAAACTGAATAAAATTCCATTTCCCCTAAATAAAACTTTAAGAGAAACCTCTCAGATAGAGATAAAAGAGAGCCACACTCATTGAATCGGGGTTCAAGGCCTCAGAGCCTCAGTGAGTGTGTGCTGGAGTTAGCTTGTACCTGGCTGGCAAGAAGAGATTGTGTTCACCTCATCTCAATTGAGGAGGTCACAGTAGCAACTGGAAATCAGCCATGGTGGGATTACTACACCATGGAAATTGGCAGATGTTACAAATCAGGGTTTTTCCCCTAAAGAAAAGCGCTCTCCCTGGTCCCACGGTGCCTCATGACTCTTCACCCAATGGCAGCTCAAAAGGTCTCTGAGAAGAACACTCATGTTGAATAGCAATTATCCTACATAAAATGTGAGACTAGATAAATCATTTTTAGTAAAACAATATAAACCAACACTAAATTAGAAAATTCTGCAAAGAGTCCCACTTTTCACTATTTCTGAACTCCTAAGAATAAGCATTTTTTCCTGTTCCAAAGCAGTGTGAAATAAGCCAGGGCTTAGTGACACACATCTGGAGGAGACTCCATGAAAAAAGGGAGTGAGTAGTCAGTACTTGAGACATATTTCTATAATGTGGTTTCTTACATCTGGTGCTGAGACCAGAGCAACTCCCTTAAATTAAAAAAAAAAATTGTCAGATGAGTAATCCTTAGGGAATAAAAGAGGCTGGGTGGAGGAATGACCTCTGGAACTGCTCCTGGAAAAGCATACCTCCCTGAAGATGTAGTTCCTCCACACTTCACTGAGCAAAACACCATGAAGTCAGCTCTCTGACTCAGAGTGGCCAGTATCTGTCTCTTTCTTGGGCTTCTAAGGTTTAATATCACCTTCATGTAGCCAGAAGACTTACAGCCAATTGACCCAAAGCATTCTTTTTCTCTAGGGTTAAGAATGTTGCCTCTGAAGCCTCCCAAGGTAGGATCAACTATGATCGCCATACTTTATTTCCCTATACAGTAGTCCAGTTGCAAGGTCAACCTCATAAATATATGACTGGATTCTTAAAGAAATGACACGGGCAGAAATCTTATACCCTCATTCTAATGTTCCTAGTAGGTGCTTCTTTTAAAGCAGCATTGATAGCTGTGTTAGCAAACTCCCAACTAGCAAGCCCAAGTCAGTAGGAAGAAGCCTGCCGATTGTGTCATAATGTTTTTCCATAAGTAATACAAGTTTGTGGAAGAAACAAGACACCTTTGGTATGTTGCAAAGGGCAGCCAAGGACTGCAGATTCTCTCTGTGGCTGAGCTAACATATTACATTATTCTGATACAACATGTTTAAGCTTCTGTAGAAGATTGTGTTTGCTTATACTATACTGTTAAAGCAGAACCTCACAAAAGTCTTCAGTTTTAACATCTGTTTATAACTGGACCAGAACCATCTGCTTCAATCACCGTGCTTTGAACAGGTCTACAACCTGGTGCAGCAAAAGAACACAGAAAATTCATGATCCTGACAAAAGGGCCAGCAAAAAGGTTTCCCTTTTTCTTGGGACCACTAATTATATGGATCGTGTTCAAAGCATCTTTTGGTTGTTCTTACATTAGAAGCATTTTTATTCCTCATAGACATTTTAAAACATAGCAAAGTTTACAAAAAAATTGAACACGTGAGGCATATAGGCATGAAAAGTTAATTACATATTGTTTCACATAATTATTCAAGACATATGAATAAAGCAGACAATAAATATTATTGAAGTCTAGAGAAAAAGGAGGTCGACATGGGACAGCCCTGTTTGGAAAGGCATATAAAAATATATGAGATTGAGCTGGGCCTGAAGGGTAGTTGATGTGGATAATTTGGATAAGTAAGGAGGGATGTTTCAGGCAAAGGTTACTGCATACATTACAAAGCAAAGACAGAAATTAATAAGTGAATCCTAGAAGCTCTGCATGGGCTAGTAGGACTGGAACAAAGAGCTCTTTTAAGTCGTGGAGGATAAATACAAGGAAGATGAGGGCCAGCTGGTGCATAAATACAAGTCTTCAACTTTGTAATTCTTTGGGCTTTAAATAAAAGGCCTAGATTACCAAGGGTTTAAACGTAAGATCAATTTCTCTCCGAACACAAGTTTCAAAGACCAATGCTAGAAACTAGCCCCGATTCTAGAATATCATTTATTTATGTCCATTTATTTATCCATATACCACTTGTCCTTCAAGTGTTAGGTCAAGCTTCTTTTGAAACATGCCTGTCACTCCTTCTGTGAATAGTTTTCCATTTATTTTCTGTTATCTGTCTTTAGCCTCAACTCCTACCTCTTTCTTTCACTTTGTGCTCTGTGATTCAGGATTGCCCCAGGATTTATAGTTCCCTAAATATTCCAAACTCTTTTTATTTTTTTAAATCTCTAAACCTCTTCACTAATTCTGGCAGCCTTAAGTTCTCTACTATTCTAAATTCATTTTAAAAATATTGGCTCTTATTGATCATGAACCAAATTCTGTTATTTATTTTATATTTATATTAAATTATAATTATATGTCTCAATTGTTATTTTACTTTGAATATGTCCATCTTCCTTACTAGAACACTTGTGTCTAGAAGACAATGGTAGCTCCCGATTCTTAAGTCCCCAACTGCGCACATCAAAAAGCATTTTGAATAAAAGCTGTCCAAAGAATTGACATATGAATTAATATGTGAATATATTAATGCTGAAGACTAGTATAAATGGGTGAGTGGATTAGGAGCAGATGCTCAAGAATACCTGAGAATAGCAAAGAAATTTGGCATACTTCCTTAACATGGCATTCTTATTGTTCCTGTATTTCACCTAGCACTTTAGTAATCAAAGCACTTAAAATGTCTTTACTCAAAAAAGGAGTGCTTATCACCACTTGATAAACAGAAGCTAGAACTGGAGAAAAACAAACACTTAAAGGAGAAGTTTAACCAAAATTACTTAATGACTATTTGTAGAGCAAAATTATCCTTCTTAAGAATGAGACAACAGCCCAATTAATGGACAAAGCCTTTATTTTATGGTAGCACGTGGGTGTTATATTATCTTGAGGTTTCAGTACAGAAGCTTTCATATATCACAAGGTGAGGGGTACGTTAATCACATCTTATTTATACTTGGCAGTTTTATACTGAGCAAACTCACAGTTCCAGATGGAAAGTCTGCAAAGGGTAATCAATTTTTGTTCTTGTCACCATCACTGTCACTCATTCTGTGTCTTATCTACAAGCTTTATGCCATGAATCAATGGAAAAATTAATTATTGTCAAAAAGAATTCTTCTGTAATTTTGAAAACAAACTTTTACTAGGAGAAAGTAAAAAGTTTATTGTGAATATAAAACAAAAGTCCCAAATGGAGAACATTTGAATGAATATAAAATAATTGATTTGAGTTGATTTATTTGGGTTACCTATTTAATAACTATGGTTTTGAGCAACTGAACATAATTTTTATCTAAATTTCAACTACTATTAAGTAAAACCCAGAAACTAGGCACTTACAATTTAATAAGCTTATCACTCATGAAAATAATTGCTAACTGGAAATTGTATAAATTGCCTAGTAATATATGCTAACTTTGAATCTTTCTGGAACTTACAAATGAGAATACTTGCAAATATTTAAGGAGACATCTCAGCTTAGCAGACCATCATTAGTGGTGTTTTACGAAGGACTGGAACTATTTAAATTGCCCATGCATTTGTTCTTTCCATGTTTTCATTCAGTGAGCAATGTATTTCCCGTTTTCCACTTTGTGTGAGGAATGAGGGTAGAAAAAACCCATAATACTACACTTTTCAGAAGTATGGTACACACCCGTAAGTTTAGAATACCCTCACATGGAATTTTTTGTCCTCATTTGGTCTTTTAGTGTAAGCAATTTATAAACATGCATAAATATAATACTTCTTCCTAAAAGAAAAGCATATGAACCCCAGATGAAAGTCTAGTTAATGGGATAATGAATGAGAAGCTTAGTTTTATTACTTGTCTCATTATCTCTCTTCAGTGAAGTCATTTAATTGCTCCTTATGCCTTTCTACAAAAAGAGAACTATATTTACTTGTCCTAGAAAAAAATTCTAGTAATGTTAACTGGTCAAAGTTAGTCTAAAAATTGCGTTCAGGATGATACAGTTCAAATGAGTGAGAGCACATTCATAATCTGCTGAGTCTTATTTGCAAATGCAGGACTGCCTGGCAACACTGGCCCAGAGGCAGTGACATTGTAGGTCAGCTGTTGCATGGATTTAACCCAGAAATTGCCATGTTTTGTTTGGTCCCTAAAGTTGTTTTTCTTTTTTTTTCATTGGGTCAACATTAAAATTTTGGCAGATTTCACATAAAATTCCACACTTCTATCTTCTGTTGGAATATGGCCACACTAGGCTTACATTCCTGCATAGGAGCAGTCAACTAGAAATAAATGTTCATTGCCACTGTCGAATGAGGTATAATTTTCCTTTTATTACTGTCCCCATCACATCTTGCTGTTCACCACAGATGCTGTACCCATTGCTATTGAACAGGAAGTTTGCTTTGTTGCTTTCCTTTCACTTTGTACCTCTCTAAAGAGGATAAATGAAATCTAGAACAGTAGTGCTTTTGTTTTAAAAAAAAATGACCAAGTATTTTTTTTTGAAAGTAGAGGTATTGACAGTGTTTAATAGGGTTAGACAAATAATGTTTGTATGTGTTAAAAGCTTATATGTTGCTCATATAACTTAACACTCAGCTCCTATTAGTGAGTGTGTTTTAAGTTCCAAGCTTCAGCACCTCCCAGCCTACCCATGAGTTTGGCCTCAGATGCTCTGTAAATGGAATCCTCTTCTCAGAAGCCCTTGTCATGCTTCCTTTCCAGAACTGCTGAAACTGTCCAGCAGTCATTTTTAGATCTCATAATTGCTTTCTCTCTGCCCCTTTAAACTTGATGCTCTGAATCTTTCCTCTCCTCCCCAGAACTGAGGCGCCTGTTTCATACAGCCCCTGCACCAAAATTGGATGCCAGATATAACAGAGCAATTCACTCATTCAGCTACTCTTTGTGGAATATTTAATATTCTTCAGCTTTATTATAGGTCTGAGGGTGAAATCATGAACAAAATTTACCCAGTTAAGACTAATTCACAGCTTACGTTGTAGAGGAAGAAACAGACAATAAAGATATAAGCAACAAATATATTACACACAGGTAAATAGAGCTGTGATGAAAAATAAAGCAAACTAAGGAGATGGAGAGTGGAGATGGCGATGGGGAGCTATTTTTGTATGTGTCATCACCTTTAAGGAAGTAACTGTTGAACTGAGAACTGAATGAGGCAACAGAGAAAACCACGGAGCAAGTGCCAAGGTCCTAGAGCGGGAGCTGGCTTGGGACTCAGGAAGAGCAAGAACTATGGGAGGGGTAGATGCAGATGCAGGCCAGACATTCAGGGGCTTATAGCCAGGCTAAGCTGTTGGGATTTTATTCTGAGAGTAATGGAAATCACTGGACTGTTTTCCAGAGGGAAATTATAAGGTCTAGTTTACCATATCCAATCCAAGCTCCAACTTCGGAGAGCCCTCTTTTGGGAGAGGGGATCAGATAGAATAAAACTCTCGCAGGTTAGAGTTCTGATTGAATTTGATAACAATAATCTAATTTATTTTAGCCAGTAGCAGCATTAGATTATATCCACAAGGGTTTTTTTTATAACAACACTGGACCTGGCACAGAATAAGAAACAGAAAAGTGATGGATGAGAAGGGTGAAAATTTATACCGTATACCAAATGGTGTCAGCTCCTCTCTGAAAACAAACAGTGCAGGATAAGTGGACTTAGCCTATTTAAATGATCAAATTATACACCTTATTTTCTACAGATAGTACTATGCATAGTCATGCAGTTTTCTCCTCACTCGGTAGCAAATACACTTAAAACAGCTTGAGCTTCTAAGTATTTTTAAAAATAGAGGTCTTCTGATTATTATTAAAATAAAGCCACTATTGTACTAACTTAGTCCTTTAAAATTTTTATTTTAGTGCCCAGGAGGAGCATTTACACCCAATATGCGAACCACCAAGGAGTTCCCAGACGATGTTGTCACTTTTATTCGGAACCACCCTCTCATGTACAATTCCATCTACCCAATCCACAGAAGGCCTTTGATTGTTCGTACAGGCACTGACTATAAGTACACAAAAATAGCTGTGGATCGAGTGAATGCTGCTGATGGTAGATACCATGTTCTGTTTCTCGGAACAGGTAAGTATTTGAGCTCAAACTAGCTTAATGTGTAGTAAAAGAGCGTACTTGCTACAGGCATGATATTGAAATCAGAAAAACTCCAGTGTTTACATGTGTCTGACTCTGAGGTGTTTTATGTCTTCATGCTTCAGTTTCTACATCTGTAAAATGGAGTTAAGATAAATTACTTTATAGGATTGTTGTGAGGAACAAATGGGTTAATATATGTAAAGCACCTAGAACTATTCCTGGCATATATTGTGGTGAAATAAGGTAATGAGATGAATGAAGGGATGGGAAATTTTAAGCATGAGTGTTCTCTCAACTAAAACAAATACTGTGACCGCTTCATAAACACATGGAGCCATATATGCTTTCCTGCCATCTCCAGGACGTTTCTTTATCAATTGTATTATTATATACTTTATTCTTCCATTTCATCCTCCACTGAATTCTTGGTTTAGAAACCTTACGCTAGCAAATGAAACTAGGCCTGTACCTTCACCTACTGCCACCTCTGCTATACTGCTGATTTCGCCAAGGTCTTCAGTGTTCCCATGACAAGAAAATCCAAAATCCTTTAACCACTGAAATGCCTCCATATCCTCTTTGCCTCATTTGGCGTTTTAGAATCACCCTACCTGTTGCTTCAGCCACAAGGCACATAATTTTCTTCTGTCTCTAGCAGTTCTCTCTCAGTTTCCTTCAGTAGCCTGGCTTTCTCCTCCCCATGAGTGTAGGTGTTTCCTGAGGTTCTCTGCATGGTCCTCTTATTTTTATGTATTCTTTGGCCATCTCATTCATTCATTTGGTTTTAATTAGTCTGTGCAAACAATCCCAAATGTGTATCTCTAGTCCTTGCCATTTTGTGAGCTCAGTATTTGCATTTACAACTTATTATTAGGTAACACAAGTTGTATGACAGGTTAACATTTCAAACATCATGCTTCAAACTCAGTTTATTCACTTCTAAAACTCTTTAACCAGTGCTTAATCCAATCTCCCATATTTGTATTCATTACCACACATTCCTTTCAAGGTTCTGTTTCTCCTTCATATGTCATTTCTCTCTAGGCATATCACAGTACCGGGTAACCTCAGTAAATATTTGTCAAGATGAACTGAAAATCATAACTATATCCACTGCAACACGTACAATGAAATGAATTCATAACTGATTGCAAAAGCTAATCTTCACTTGCATAAAACTGTGTTCTCCAAAGATGTTGCTTCCATATAAATAACTATAAAGAGTTTCTTTTAGCCTTGATTCTGATCATCCAGTGTGGAAATTGCATTTGAAAAAAAATTTTTTTTCCTGAAGTGATGAGGTCATTTAGAGTCACACCTCTCTCTAATGTCTCATATTACTCAGAAAAAAATGACTGTTTTCTTATTTTCCTTTTGAAGGCTGTCTTAAATGTAGACTCTTTTCTTCCCCAGTTTTATTGAGATATAATTGACATACATTACTGTATAAATTTAAGGTACACAACATAACGGTTTGACATATATATTGTGAAATGATTATTGCAATAAGTTTAGTTAACATCTATCATCTCATATAGATACAATAAAAAGAAAGAAAAAAAATTTTTTCCTTCTAATGAGAACTCTTAGAATTTATTCTCTTAATAGCTTTCATATATATCATACAGCAATGTAACTGTAGTACATCCCAAAACTATGGGGGTGTATGTTACATCCCTAGTACTTAGTATCTCATAACTGGAAGTTTGTACCTTTTGATTGCCTTCATTTAATTCTCCCTCTCTCCACATCTGGTAGTGAATGTGGTTTTTCATTTTGTTTTTGTTTCTTTATATTACACGTATAAGTGAGAGCATACAATACTTGTCTTACTCTGTATGACTTTTTTTCACCTAGCATAATGCCATCAATTTCGATCCACGTTGTCACAAATGGCAAGATTTCATTCTTTTAATGGCAGAGTAATATTTTAAACCACACTTGTTTTTCTATTCATTTGTCAACAGACACTTAGGTTATTTCCACATCTTGGCTATTGTGAATAATGCTGCAGTGAACATAGAGGTGCAGATATCTTCTCCAGTTAGTGTTTTTGTTTCTCAGAGGTGGACTCTGATATCACATTCAGGTTGTTTTTTCATGAAAGTCTACATAAAATATATAAGTTTCATGGATGGAATTTTTTAGTCTTTATAAACAGTTCAGCAGTGTTTATTTAGTTAGAAGGCAGTAAGAAACATGCTTTTGCACAAATTCTTTGGCTTTTCTTACCACATAAGTATCTGGCACCTTTACATAGACTTTTTATGTTGGTATTTAAGAACTTGTATCATTTTGGAGACCTTCAAGATGGCGGAAGAGTAAGACGCGGAGATCACCTTCCTCCCCACAGATACATCAGAAATACATCCACATGTGGAACAACTCCCACAGAACACCTACTTAACGCTTGTAGAAGACCTCAGACTTCCCCAAAGGCATGAAACTCCCCACCTACCTGGGCAGGGCAAAAGAAAAAATGAAAAACAGACACAAAAGAATAGGTATGGGACCTGCACCAGTGGGAGGGAGCTGTGAAGGAGGAAAGGTTTCCACACACTAGGAAGCCCCTTTGCGGGCGGAGACTGCGGGTGGTGGAGGGGGGAAGCTTCGGAGCCGCGGAGGAGAGCGCAGCAACGGGGGTGTGGAAGGCAAAGCGGAGAGATTCCTGCACAGAAGATCGGTGCTGACCAGCACTCATCAGCCCGAGAGGCTCGTCTTCTCACCCGCCGGGGCAGCTGGGGGCTGGGAGCTGAGGCTCCGGCTTTGGTGGATCCCAAGGAGAGGCCTGGGGTTGGCTGCGGGAACACAGCCTGAAGGGGGCTAGTGCTCAATAGCTAGCTGGGAGGGAGTCCGGGAAAATGTCTGGAACTGCCTAAGAGGCAAAAGACCATTGTTTCGGGGTGTGCAAGGAGAGGGGATTCAGAGCAACACCTAAATGAGCTCCAGAGATGGACGCAAGCCGCAGCTATCATCACAGACCCCAGAGATGGGCATGAAACGCTAAGGCTACTGCTGCAGCCACCAAGAAGCCTGTGTGTGAGCACAGGTCACTATCCACACCTCCCCTCCCAGGAGCCTGTGTGTCCCACCACTGCCAGGGTCCCGTGATACAGGAACAACTTCCCCAGGCAAACACACGGTGCGCCTCAGGCTGTTGCAACGTCATGCTGGCCTCTGATGCAGCAAGCTCGCCCTGCGTTCTGTACCTCTCCCTCCCCCAAGCCTGAGTGAGCCAGAGCCCCCTATTCAGCTACTATTTTAACCCTGTCCTGTCTGAGCAAAGAACAGATGCCCTCAGGTGACCTACATGCAGAGGCGGGGCCAAATCCAAAACTGAACCCCAGGAGCTGTGCGAACAAAGAAGAGAAAGGGAAATCTCTCCCAGCAGCCTCAGGAGCAGAGGATTAAATCTCCACAATCAACTTGGTGAGCCCTGCATCTGTGGAATACCTGAATAGACAACGAATCACCCCAAAATTGAGGTAGTGGACTTTGGGAGCAACAGCATATGTATTTTTTTGCTTTTTCTCTTTTTGTGAATGTGTATATATATGCTTCCTTGTGTGATTTTGTCTGTATAGCTTTGCTTTTACCATTTGTCCTAGGGTTCTCTCTGTCCAATTTTTTTTCTTTTTTTTTTTTAAGTATAGTTTTTAGCTCTTGTTATCACTGATGGATTTGCTTTTTAGTTTGGTTGCTCTCTTCTTTCTCTCTTTTTTTTCTTTTTAATAATTATTTTTACTTTTTTATTTTAATAACTTTATTTTATTTTATATTATAGTTTTCTTTCTTTTTTTGTCCCTTTTCCTCTGAGCCGTGTAGCTGACAGTGTCTTTGTGGTCTGGCTGGGTGTCAGGCCTGTGCCTCTGAGGTGGGAGAGCCAAGTTTAGAGCATTGGTCCACCAGAGACCTCCCGGCTCCATGTAATATCAAATGGAGAAAGCTTTCCCAGAGATCTCCATCTCAACACTAAGACCCAGCTCCACTCAACAACCAGCAAGCTACAGTGCTGGACACCCTATGCCAAACAACTAGCAAGACAGGAACACAACCCCAATCATTAGCAGAGAGGCTGCCTAAAATCAGAATAAGGTCACAGACACCCCAATACACACCACTGAAGGTGGCCCGACCCACCAGAAAGACAAGATCCAGCCTCATCCACCTGAACAAAGACACTAGTACCCTGCACCAGGAAGCCTACACAACCCACTGAATGAACCTTAGCCACTGGGGGCAGACACCAAAAACAATGGGAACTATGAACTGGCAGCCTGTGAAAAGGAGACCCCAAACACAATAAGTTAAGCAAAATGAGAAGACAGAGAAACACACAGCAGATGAAGGAGCAATGTAAAAACCCACTAGGCCAAACAAATGAAGAGGAAGTAGGCAGTCTACCTGAAAAAGAATTAGAGTAATGATAGTAAAGATGATCCAAAATCTTGGAAATAGAATGGAGAAAATACAAGAAACGTTTAACAAGGACCTAGAAGAACTAAAGAGCAAACAAACACTGATGAACAACACAATAAATGAAACTAAAAATTCTCTAGAAGGAATCAATTGCAGAATAATGGAGACAGAAGAACGGAAAGTGACCTGGAAGACAAAATAGTGGAAATAACTACTGCAGAGCAGAATAAAGAAAAAAGAATGAAAAGAATTGAGGACAGCCTTAGAGACCTCTGGTACAACATTAAATGCACCAACATTCGAATTATAGGGGTCCCAGAAGAAGAGGAGAAAAAGAAAGGGGCTGAGAAAATATTTGAAGAGATTATAGTTGCAAACTTCCCTAATATGGGAAAGGAAATACTTATTCAAGTCCAGGAAGCACAGAGAGTCCCATACAGGATAAATACAAGGAGAAACACACCAAGACACATATTAATCAAACTATCAAAAATTAAATACAAAGAAAAAATATTAAAAGCAGCAAGGGAAAAAACAACAAATAACATACAAGGGAATCCCCATAAGGT